CCTCCCTTAAGTTTTGCATTTGACTTAGCCAACATTTTAAGTTTAAAAAATATTTTTGAGCACCTAATCTATGCCCAGTGCTTTGCTAGATACATTGAAAAAATGATTAGAAGTAATCATTTGATATCTTGCCTCTAAGAGTTCCCAGTCTAACATAGGAAATGAATGGTTACAATATATGGTGATAGGTGCCATCCTAGAATAGTAGTTGAATGTGCAGGGGGTGGAGCAGTTTTGAATCTCAAATGTGTAACCTTGGGTGAGTTTCCTAAACTCTTTGTGTCTCTGTTTCCTCATTTATAAAATAGGAATAATAATAGTACTTACCTGTACATGTAAAGTACTTACAATTGTATCTGGCAAGTGGTGTCCAATAAGTATAGCTCTCATTGTTAGTAGATACATACAGGGTACATTGGTAGCATAAAGGAGGGGGTGCTCAACTCTGCTTTGGTGAAGAAAGTCAAAGGGGTGGGGGAAACTTTTAAAGCAGAGGACACATTTGAGTGTATCTTAAAGTATCAGGAAGGTTAAATCAGACAGATAAAAATGTAGAGGAGCAAGAAGGCATACCAGGTATGAAGGAATAGAATGCATAAACCATAGATGCATGAAATGGTAGTCTAGGAGATGTAGACCAGATTGGAATGGCTGAAATATAGGGTATTTGTAGGATAGTAACAAGAGATGAGGTTGTAGGGGGTAAGCAGTTATGAGCAGAAATGAGTTTCAACAAGTACTTGAGTATTTGTGTCACATGTTACTGAAAAGTCAAGGAAAGTGAAAATTGCAAAGTATACATTGGATTTGACAATATGGAGATCATTGTCACACTAGCAAGAACTAGTGGAGTGTAAAATAAAGTGCAGTAAAACAAAGAGGGAAAGGAAGATGCAGAAGTGGAGACTGTGTGTAGCCAACTGTTTTTCTAGTTTTTGACTGAAAGAGGATAGACAGAGGACATTAACTGGAGAGAAACATGAATCCCCATTTACACATAAGGAAACTGATACTCTAGTAAAGATTAAGCCTTTTGCTTTAGAATCATAGTGAGTATCAAGCCAGAATTGAACCTAGTTTTACTGTGGTTTAAATTCAGAGTTTTTTGCATTAAAACATGTAGCTCCTGAATGCCCATGTCCTCCATGGCACATACCAATGATGCCTGGGTTCTTGTTCACGAAGCCGAAGAATGAGCTTCACAAGCACTGAAAGAGAACCAGGTACAGGTTTTTATTTAGAGATAAAGTGGGAGGACAGAGCTCCTGGCTCACGCCAGGAGGGGACAAGAGAGTCCCAGGGTGGTGCATTGTCTAGAGGATTTATAGGCAGTACAGGATTTTTCAGAACTGATGGCTTAGGGTGTGGCCTTGTACCAGTTGCCCTGCCCTCAAGGTGGGCTGGATTGTTGTGTGTTTGCCAGGGCCGTTTATAGTGAAGTCGCGGGTTATGCTGAGACACCCTTGTGGAACACTCAAACATTCCAGGCCAAGTTGCTCCTGGCCTTTTGACCTTTAACTGATCTCACTGAAGATGTCTATATTCCTAGTCTAGTATCTTTACCCTAGAGAATTATTATGACCTTGACTTTGCATAATGCTGAACACAGAGTTTTGATGGGGACTTTACATTGTTACATTGTTTTGACTGTAAATTTCTTGGCTTGCTTTTTCCAGAGGCCCTCACCCTCCTCTGTCTACGCTCATGCTCCCTGTCTCACCAAGAGAAATCTCTCTTAGAAACTCTAAGCTCCCTAAGAGCAAGGATGATGTGTTTTACTAATTTAGATAACCTTGCACTCTTCTAGAAGTGGGCATTAAAAGGAGAGTAATGACTCAGCACCTGTCTGTCAGCAGCTCACAATTTAGGCAGGGAAATAGACATGTAATTTTAGTAGAATATGAAAGAAATATACAGTAGTGTTAGAACAAAGAAGAGAGAAATTAAATCTGCATGTAGGATGGCAAAAAAGGCTTTCTGAAAATGATGGAAGTTATGCTAGTCATTAAAGCATAATGGCTTCCATTTACTGAGATACTGAACAGGTAGTGAACTGCATACTTCACATACATCATCTTATCTTATTTAAAGCTCAAAATAATCTCTGCAAAGTTATTTCCCCTGTTCAGATGCCTTGATGGTGTCAAGTTATAATTGTCTGATGCATCCATCTGGATATACTTGCCACAGGGCAAAAGTACTCAAGTTTGTGAGCCAGGGAACCTACTTCCTTAGATAGCATGTATGTGTGCTCATCTACATTTGAGCACTTACTATTTGTCAGGCACTGTTCCCTATGCTTTCTATGCATCACCTAGTTTAATCCCTAGTAACAATCCCATGAATTAGGTACCATTATCCCTGCTTTATAACTGAGGCAACAATGGGATTATTAGACTTAAAGACAGTTTCACTGTGCCTTTCTTTTCTAACTTCTGCTTTTAACTCTGATAAGACCTACCTCTGACCAATTTGTAATTGGCTTTGGCTGTTTTAATACTTGCTATAGTTTGGTGTTAACCAGAACTGTCCCTCCCCTTTCACTGTTTGAACATCTTGGAGTTTGCTCATCTGTTATATGCTGATTTTCTAGTTTAGCCCTCAGAAGCTAGTGTTACTGCAAAATTTGTTGGTAGTAGAGCATGAGATAACTAACCAGAAATATCTCAATATTTGACATAAAAACAAGAAAGTTACATTTCATCAAGGATATTCAAATACCTAAGAACATGGTCATTAAACAAATGATCTTATTCACAGTCTGGTAGGTGACACCAGTGGGCAATCATAATCAACTTCATAACTGAATGGGCTTTGAATGTGTCAATTAAGTAATATTTTTTAAGTAGTATTTTGTTCAGAGACAGGTTGCTGGTTTGAATGTCAGAGACTCAACAAAAACCCAGCAATGCACAGAGGTACCACCATGGGCAGGCAGACTGGCCAAAGTCTGAGGAGCCTCACAAAAATAGTATTTACTGTGGCAGATCCAGTGCTGTTGGAGTTTAATCCTCTATTTTGAGATGTACAAAATGGCTAGAACTTTGTTGTGGGTTTTTTTTTGTCTTGTTTTGTTTTTGTTTTTGTTTTAGTGTCAAGTGCTTTTATTTGTAAGAGATCAGTAAACCTGGGAAGAACATACCAAATAGAGTAGACCTACACCCTACCAAACCTGCCTTTGTGAGTATTTTCAGGCAGCCCTACCTCTAGAGGGAGCTATTTACATAGTGCACAACCTGTACAACCACATGGGGTGGCTCAAGGACTGCTCTTATCTGACAACGAGCTTTAATGCATACCTTTGTTCAGAACACTTTGCTAAGAGGGACAGCAGCAGATAGACACAAATAACTCTGGACTTGACACTTGTGCTGAGTGTGAACTAAGTATGAAATGTCACCCTTGTTAATTTAAGACATTAGGGAAACGGACATCAAACCAAAATGAGATATCACTCCACACCCACTAGAATGGCCATAACCAAAGAGACAGACAATAACAGGTGCTGGCAAGGCTTTAGAGAATTTGGAACCCTCAGACATTGTGGAAGTCAGCAGTTACATTGGTGGAAAAGTAAAACAGCATAGCCACTTGCGAGAAGTTTGGAAATTCTTCAAAATGTTAAACATAGTTATGAGTTTATGGCCACCGCTGTAATTCCACCTCTAGTATATATATCTAAAAGGAATGATATATGCTGCAGAAAACCTGGTACATGAATGTTCATGGCAATGTTATTCAGAGTAGCCAAAGCATAGAAACAACCCAAATGTCCATCAATTGATAAATGGATAAATAAAATGTGATATATCCATTAGTCACATATTATTTGTAATAAAAAGGAATAAAGTACTGACACATCCTACAACAGAGATAAACTTCAAAAATATTTCTAGGGAAACCATTCTAAAGGACCACATAGTATATGATTTCATTTATACCAAGTGTCCAGATTGGGCAAATCTATAGACAGAAAGTAAATTAGTGATTGCCCAAGACTAGGGTGTGAGTGAAAGTTGACAGAGATGCAGAGTGACTACTAACAGGCAGGGGGATTTCTTTTGGTTGAGGGTCTGATGGGTGGAGAAAATTTCCTAAAATTAGATTTCCTAAAATTAAATTGACTTACACACTTAAAATGGCTGAATTCTATCTTACGTGATTATATTTCAATGAAACTGTTAAATATTTGGCAGAAAATTTTAAACCATCTTTCAAAAGTTCTTTTAAACTATGCTTTGTAAATTATAAATCTGTACAATTTTATCTTCTCATGGTTTTCAAAAGCACCCTCAGGTAGCCATAATTGGGGAGAGAGAAAAAAGGTTCTGGGCAAGAGAAGGGAGGTGTTACCTGCAAATATGGGTCACTTTTAGTACTAGGATCATGTTAGGAAATTCTGCGGAGACATGGTTTTTTTCCTTCCCAGAATATCAATGAAAGGGAAAGAGACATGAAGCTATTTACTTATAATTCAGGGATTCACTTCTTTCATCAGCTGTGAATTAAGGCTGCAGAAAGCTTTAACTGTGAATTATAAAAAGTTCTCAATATATTCTTCCTAAGTTAATGACAGTTGCCTTCATCTTCCCAGTACACTTCCCAGTTTTCTTTGTGGAGCTCAGTAGATGCTTATTCAGGTGAAGTGGGCAGCTGAGTGAGTGTCCGAGACGTTCAGGAATTTAATAAGGTCACCCCTCAGGTCCGTCACAGAAAGGACTCACACGGCAGCAAGGGGGAGGTAAGGTCGATACTTTTACCTTTTAGGTAATGCAAAACAGTCCCATAAAAGAGAAATAATTCGTTAGCTAAGCTTTTTTTCCCCAGCAATTTAGTTTGTGAATTTAAATTCAGTTGCATAGCATTAGATTCTCTCTTAATTTTCATTCTTTTAAGGTTTGTTATATTTAAATTATATAGATCATCCTGAAAATTAGCTGTAGGGCTATATTCCTCATCATTATTTTTATTGTCAAATGCATTTCTCATTTTTGGCACAGATATGGAAAAATCACACTTTACTCGAGATCCATCCCAGCTTAAAGGTATCCTTGTTCGAGCATCACTGAAAAAAAGCACAATGGGATTTGGTTTTACTATTATTGGTGGAGATAGGCCTGATGAGTTCCTACAAGTGAAAAATGTGCTAAAAGATGGTCCTGCAGCTCAAGATGGGAAAATTGCACCAGGTAACAAATTTTTCAGAATTACTTGAAGAATAGTGATACCAGAGCAAAAATTATAGTGAAAATGTTTTATGAAATATATATGTGTAATTTATATATATATAGTAAATATGTATTTATATGTATATGTTATGTATGATTTATATATTTATTTAAAGGATAAACTATTTTAATATAGGAATCTCCCTCTTCAATTGTATAATTTAGCTTTCTCTTTGTATACATAATATATATTATGTATGATGTATAAATATATGTAATATAAATATGTAAATCACACATAATATATAGCCAATACTTGAATAAATATTATAAAACTATATAAATTATATAAGTTACATATATAAAGAGAGAGAGAAGACTAAATTATACAGTTAAAGATGGAGATACCTGTATTAAAATAGTTTATCCTCTAAGTGTGTACTAGTTTTAAGGGAAGGCCATTTTTATAAATAAGTGAAAGCTTAAAGAAAACATTAAATTCAATCAATTTTTTAATAGTTTGTATGATTTTGAAATAACTTGGCTGCACTAAGCTGAAGATTTATTAGCCATCTCAGAAATGTATTTGATTGCTTGATTTTCTTTGATTAGATAGGGTGCTTTTGGAGCTATCGAACATTTTCCTATAATCTTTTTTGGAAAATGACCCACTGTGATATTTATAGTGATACTGAACATGTGGTTATATCTCATAGTTTTTCCCCAATTTTTTATTTTGTTTTTTCTTTCTTAGTCTCACTGGTTATTAGTAAAATTAAACTGTCATTTTAAGAATTGTAAACACAAATTTTTACAGAACTGTATAAATTTGTCTTTTATATAGTTTTTATTGGGTAATTGTTAGATATTTTTATGTGGCTGACATTGTTTATGGCTGAGGGAATGAGAAGTTCAAGTTACTAATTATGAGGTGGGTTTAAGCACAGTTTTCAAGAAAGATTTAGTATTTCACTGAGGTTGCTTCTCACACTGTTTGCTAGACTTTTCTAATCCTCTCTTTTATCATGTACCATGTAAATATGTGCCCATTTGGACAATTCAACTGTCATAATACTTTCGATGGCAGATATCACTTAAAGTTAAGATATGGAATCTCTCATATTATGCTTTCCCATTTAGGTGATAGAAACTTAAAACAAGAAAACTTAAAATAATCAAAAGGTATATTTTATAAAGAAAATTATTTCCAGCTCATCTTTATTACTCGATAAAATTAACAAACTCTAGAGATAAAATTAATAGTAAGTTTTTTTTAAGTTCTCAATTTTGACTTTTTGAGCATTTTGTCCATGAAACCCATTTCATAGCTACTGTATATGCTGTCAAGATTTTATAATATAGATTCAGATTTCTCTAAAACCATTATTTAATTTGCAGAGCAGTATAATACTTCCATGAAAATTCTGGGAATGTTAACCAGAGGAGGAAAAATCAAAACTTTGTTTCTAATTAGTCTAATTTCTCTATCTTCTTAGATTATGAAACAAATTTCCAACAGACTAACATTTGTTTTTAAATATTATTCATATTGATTTTTTAAAGCCTACTTGCAATCAGAACAAATTAAATCACCTTTATTAGGCAATAACCTTTTAAATAATCATATTCAAATAAAAGCAGCAAATGGGTGAAACATCAGAGGACACATATTAAAAGTTAAGGCTGCATTAAGAAAAAACACAACCAATGAATGTCAAGTGGTAATGAGTCTACAATCAAAGTGGTCATAATAATGTAAAATCAGGAAAGCAAAACCAGATTTTAAAAGGATTAATTTAATGTCTTAAATAATATGATCTTTGCTTGTGCTGATTTTTTTGTTTCTTGTTTCTCTTTTGAAACTTGAATTACAGTAAATTGAAAATCTCTACAAAATGAATGGTGCATAAAGAAAATATATTTGTAACATTATTCTAAACTTAGGCCCTGTGTTTTTTCAAACTAGAAATGAATTTTTAAGTGCATGATAATTAATGGCTTCTTAGAATCAAGAAATAAGGTGATATTTAAAGATTGAAGTTATTTACTCTTCTCCATACTGAGTACCTACAACAGTGTACCTGGCTTAGTATGGCCACTTAGGTATGACTCAGAGGATATACTAACAACAATAATATGAATTTGCAGTTAGTTTTTAAATGACTTACTTGAGCTTGAGGTCATAACTCTTTGCTACAAAGATAATTAAGATATTATACATTTATGTATTCTTTTTAGAGAGGTGTAACAGAAGAGGGAATGACATATCTATGTTTGAAATCTATCTTTGAAGGAGTTAATGAACAGTAAGAAGTTTCCAGAATTCAAATTTAGATGTTAAGTGTAAGTTATCTTTGTCTCCCCCCACAACAAAAAATTAACTTACTTGGTGGCGTTAATATTTTAACATGATTGTGTTTTACCAGGTGATGTTATTGTAGATATAAATGGCAGCTGTGTCCTTGGTCACACTCATGCAGATGTTGTCCAGATGTTTCAGTTGGTACCTGTCAATCAGCATGTAAGCCTCACTCTGTGTCGTGGTTATCCACTTCCTGATGACAGTGAAGATCCTATTGTGGACATTGTTGCTGCTGCACCTGTTGTCAATGGACAATCATTAACCAAGGGAGAGACTTGCATGAACACTCAGGATTTTAAGTCAGGAGCAATGGTTCTGGACCAGAATGGAAAATCGGGACATACCCTGTTGAGTGATCGTCTCAATGGACCATCAGATCCAAGTGAGCAGAGAGCATCCATGGCATCATCAGGCAGCTCCCAGCCTGAACTAGTGGCTGTCCCTCTGGTTAAGGGCCCAAAAGGTTTTGGGTTTGCAATTGCTGACAGCCCAACTGGACAGAAGGTGAAAATGATATTGGATAGTCAGTGGTGTCAAGGCCTACAGAAAGGGGATATAATTAAGGAAATTTACCATCAAAATGTGCAGAATTTAACACATCTCCAAGTGGTCGAGGTGCTAAAGCAGTTTCCAGTAGGTGCAGATGTACCATTGCTTATCTTAAGAGGAGGTAAGTAAAAGCATAACAAGGAGGAAAACCTTCATTTTTCATGCATTTATATCTGTTAATTGTCCTTCCTGCAGATCAGAATATCTCTTTTCCTAGCAGACCCAACTGGTAATCATTGTGCATTTTCCTTAAGGTTCTGTCTGACTGCTTCCATCAGCACTATCTTTTGCAGCAGGTTTTTTAGTCATTATTGGTTCCACTGGTGTCATTGTGGGTTTCTTTCCCTCTATATTCTTTTTAAAATCTGATTTATGGCTTTAATGATTAGAGAAAGTCCTAACATTGTGCTGCTTCAAATGAAATATATCCTCTTAATTCATTTTCTCTGTTGATGACAATAATAGAAATTGGCTCTTTCAGCCAGTGGTACTTCTCCTGGACCTCTGTAATATACCAAGGATGTTTGAAAGAGCTTGCATCTCTGTGAATAAGCAAATTGTTGAACGGTATATTAATCTGTTCTGTAAAAGCAATCATGATGGCTTGTGCTCAAAAAGCTTTTATCTTAAGCTTTAATATCTGTACATAAATGTTGATTAAACCCCACAGTGCTCATGTGAGGGAAATAAAATTTTTATTTTCCAAGGTCATCAGCTGGCTTGAACTGCTCCAAGACTTAAAACCAGTTCTAAGGACTGATGAAAAAACTGCATCTTAATGGGCTTTCTCATGAAATGAATGATTAGTACTTTAAGGAATAAAATGTAGCCCTTCACACTTCTCTCTCTGGCTTTTACTTTTCATTTTTGAAGCAGATGAGCAGCTGAACTTCACTGGGGCATTTTTCATTATTCTCATTTCTTTGCACTATTTTTGTCTCTTCTCTGCATGATTTGGTAGAATATGCTCAGAGTAAGGTGAGGATCTCCAGGCAAGTGCGGAGAGTGACCCAGGGCTCCGGCCAGTACACCAAAGATAGCGGGTTTTGTATCAGACAGTTTGATGTCAGTTTCCTGCCTTGCTTTCTGTTTATTATGCAGTGTGAGGAAGTAATGGTATCTATTTGAGCCTTTGTTTACTGTATCTATAAAATGGTAGTAACATTATGCCTTAGGATTGTCATAAACATAAAGTGTGATAATATTATGCCTGGCACTTAGGAGATATTGGACATAGAATTTACAAACCTATGAAAAATTGAAGCTGATTTTATCATAAACATTAGCAGTATTTGTGATCTCTGAATGCTTCCTCTGTTTTTAAAATTTGGCTCATTTTTTTTAAGGTTCTCCTTCACCAAGTAAAACTGCCAAAATGGTGAGTATATAGTCGTCCTCAAATGCTTCTTCTCACACACAGCTGGAGAGATGCCACACACCCTTCTGTAAGATCAGCTCACTGCAGGGGGATACCGACTGGGAGAAGTCAGGAAGCTTACTGTCCTGGGCTTGTATCACAGACTTGGGGATATGTGTGCATTAGAAAACAGGCCCTACAGAGGAGGCATGCCTTCTGGTTAAGTATTTCTAGTGGAGGAACACTGGAGGCCCATTCTACCATTAATCCTATCCTCTAAGAAATAAAATATGCACACATTAAAGTGCCTGCTTGGGACTCCTTGTACTTTGTGTTTCAGAGGAGCAAGACTAAGACATAGCTAAATGTTAGTTAAGGCAGATGATAAACTGTTACATCTGCTCCCTGATGCCCAAAGAAAAGATGTGTACCTTCACTTAATTTCGTGGGGACTGTAAATACCCACATTTAGATAACCTTCTTACATTAGGACTAAACCAGACTTTCTAGAGTAATTGTGGCCTCTGTCCTCAATTTGCTTGTTATCAAGGTGATAGGCTGTCAGACTGTAAACAGTGTTTCCTTTGACATTCTTCTGAATAACTGAGTAGCCTATTTAAGGACCTGTACAGAGAATAAGACCCTAAAAGGGGGGATACCAAGTAATGCTCTGAAAGAAACTGAGCTGGGTGCACATGTGTAGCTACTTGAGTATCCACAGTTGTGGATATGAATCTAAAGACAATTACATATAAAATCCAAATTTAGTTAATTTGCTTGATTTGGAGTCTGTCATCTCACACTTGAAAGATGATCTTCCATAAATATAAACCACAGGCTACTAAGGGAAATACCATCAGATATTAAATGGATTAAATCTTTCTAGCCCACCAAATAGGACCATCTGCAAATCTGCTGTTTTATGGATCGAAAGAAGGAAACAGTATGCACTTTGTTGGACTGTACTACTTAGGTACAGTGTGAACAGAAATTGTTTGTGCCTATTCAGTTAAAATTGCACTGCATTTTTCTATACTTCTGGCTTCTCTGGTAGTCATTTTTAACTCCTGTGCTAACATATTTATTTCATAATGGATGCCAGTGTGGCCATGTGACCCTAATGCCTTATAACTGATGGCCTCTCACTGCTCTGATAGTCCTAGGACATGTGACAGTGAGATAGGTTGCTTTTATTTTCCTGCCATCTGACTGGCCGGGTCTGGGGCAGTTAAGGCCCCTGTGGCACATTTGTAGTGACTGTCCCCTCATTGTTCCCGGAAAAGCTGCTCTCCTGCATTCTGGTCAGCATTAATTTTTTTTCACAAAAACCTATAATCTCCCTCTCCTAACAGTAAAGCAGAGTAACAAGCCATTCTCAAAACCCTATTTATTTCCTTAGGGTATTTATTGGACTTCATGTTTTAAATTTTATTAAAGAAGTTGTTTTGCTTGGCTGCATTTTTGGGAAAGTTCTACCTGAATGGGAAAAATATGAAAATAATGCTACTCTGTTTTTCCTCATCTGGCTGCCTGGTGTGGAGCGTTTTTCCTTCATACATTTGAATTGGCTGTATAGGGTTTTCATGGTTTTCATCTTTATAATCGCAATTGGAGTTGACACTTCCCATTCCGTTTTCTTGGATTATTATCTTAAACATCTTCACTGGGAATTAAATTCAGTGACTGGGGAGGTGGGGCTCATCCAGAACTGCTAAGGCTCTCCCAGAGTATCCCTTTTGCTTTTCTTAGAAATGCTGCCTTGTGTTGTTTCCTATTGGTTGCCTTAAAATCAGTTTGTATCTTGGTGGAGAGAAGGGTAAGATTGCTTAAACACAGGACTAATTAAGGCCCTTCAGTTGACATCATTATAAAGTTTTCCTAATTTAAGTTAAATATGTTTTAGCCAAATAGACATGGCTATGAAAGTGGATTCCTGTAAGACAAACATGCCATGGCTTTGACCCTGCCACCTGTATAACTGTAATCAGTTGACTGACCTGGTTCAGACAAGTTTTATGAAGTAATCAATCATCTAATTTTTTAAAAATACGAAATAAAACTCTTTTCCATTTTAGAAAACAGATAAAAAGGAAAATTCAGGAAGTTTGGAGGCCATAAATGAGTCCATTCCCCAGCCTATGCCTTTTCCACCCAGCATTATCAGGTCAGGATCCCCGAAATTGGATCCTTCTGAAGTCTACCTGAAGTCTAAGACCTTATATGAAGATAAACGTAAGTAGTTGTGGAATATTTCAGGAGAGCATGCAACCAAATAAAATTGAATTTTTTTAAACTGGGACCTTCCCATCTGTCAAAACCGTATTGAAAAGTTACTCCTTTATTCTCATTTTAATATAGCTCTGGGGTTCCTCCATTTACATTCAACATTCATTCATTCATTTTTTTTCAAAACCAAGTACTAAGTGCCTGCAATCTACCTACCGCCATAGTAGATGATGGGAATACAGAGATAAATAGTTGACATAGGCCTTGCACCCAGAAAGATAATTAAAACTAAATGGAAAAGACAAGTGTGTAATCCAATAAGTGTACAAATAAGCCTCATAGTAATGGAAGAATGGGCTGGACAAACTGGGATTCCAAGTAGGAAGTGGTCAGTTTTTTACCACTGTGGGTTGTAAAAAGTGTCAGATCTGCTTATAGGAATTTAAGCCTTAATACCAGGTCTTCAGAGGTAAAGAGGTGTTTATGAGATAGATGCAAGGGCAAGAAAGAAGGAATAACATTTCAGCATTGACTTCGCGTGGCCTGGGTTCTGCAAGGAGGTCAGTTCACTGGATGCGGTTGGTGAGGGAAATGAGAGGGGAGAACAGGAGCAGATCGTGAGGACAGGTTCTGCCATTCTGAGAAAGCTGGAGCTGGTTACACCAATGATGGAGAGCCATGGAATGGCTTTAACTAGAGGAATGAATTTACTGGATTAGTGTCTTAGATTTTCCTGGTAGGATTATGAAGGATGATAAATCAGAGGGATGTGCAGTCTGAAGAGGACACCAAGGAGGAAGCTTCTTACTCTGAGTCCAGCTGAAAGATGATAAAGAGAGAGTGCCTAAGGCAGAAAATCATTTGTGTGATAATTTACTTCCTCCTGATTCCAAACCTTTTCCAAAGTAAAATTGCAGATTTAAGCGGGTTTAATTTTTAAAATATATTTGTTTTTTTGTTTTTTTTTTATTAAGGTATCATTGATATTCAATCTTAGGAAGGTTTCACATGAGCAATATGTGGTTACTGCATTCACCCATATTATCAAGTCCCCCTACACACTCCATTGCAGTCACTGTCCATCCGTGTAATAAGATGCTACAGAGTCATTACTTGTCTTCTCTGTGCTATTAAAATGTATTTGTTTTTAAGAAGTAGATCTAAATCTGCCTTGGAAAATATGTACACAAGTGGAAATATATAACTGACTTCATACTTACTTAACCTATTGCAGAACTTTGTCTTGATAGTCCAAGGCCATATTTCAAAATGAAAACCAGTTGTAAGCGCAGCAAAGCAGTAATTTAAATTAGTGCAATTAGGGAGAGTCTCCCTCAGACTTCCCATTCATAGCCTAATATGGTATTGGGATAAACTGTTCCATCCCTTTGGGCTTCACCCATAAAATAAATGAGTTGGTCACATGAGTCTTTTTGTCTTAAAGTCCTGTGATTCTAATAGGAAGTGTTTCTCAAAAGAGATTGCTTCTAAGGAACATTATCAGGATTTACCCTCTGTGGTATCTCACTTTTTCTGTAGTTCCCTGACATGTTTCTCTCTTTTCCCTTCCTAGCAAATACTTCTTGTAAAAACATTAATATTTTCCCAGAGGTAAAATTCTAGTCATGAAGTTTTTCCTGATTTAATATTCTGATGAATGTGACCTGTGCTTCAGGGACAGGATAGTGTGAGTTCAGAGCCTGGATCCTGGAAGTCAAGCTGAGTTTAAATCTCAGCTCTGCCATTTACTGTTATGTGAAACTGGCAAGTTAGTTAGGCCCTTAGTTTTCTAGCTAGAAAATGGAGTGAATAGTAAGTGTTAGCTATTACTTGTTTTCTTCTAAAATATCATTTTGCAAAATTGGGCTAAGTAAGTAATTCATATGGAATGCTTTTCTGTAACAAAGGTATTTGGCTTAGGAGTAGAATTAAAGCATTTTATGGGCTCTCTTTTCCTAGGATTTGCCCAAGTGTTGATTTAAAAAATTTGTTCCTATCAAATATCAAATTTAAATTGAATAATTCTGAGTTCAATATCATAGTATTGATGTGCCAGGAATTGGGGGTAAATATTCCTAAGCAATGTTGATACATTTTGTTTGGAGCTCAAAAGGAAGATTTATGACTGAACGTTTTGTAGTGTTATGCTCTTGTATAAATTTTCACATACCAATATATGAAGTTGTAGTTCTTGAACTCTATATTATCCTACTAAACATTGAATTTTGTCTTATTTTGATCTTTTTAAAATAAATCAAATATTTATTTTATTTTTTTAAAATATTTTCTGGTTTTCCTTAGCACCAAACACCAAAGATTTGGATGTTTTTCTTCGGAAACAGGAATCAGGGTTTGGCTTCAGGGTGCTAGGAGGAGATGGACCTGACCAATCTGTAAGTTTAAATACTTTTGAATTTGGCTGTTCCCTGTTAAAAGTTTTAAGTGTTAATTTAGTATGGTGTTTTTGTTGTGTTTGGCCTTTTTAACGGTTTTGTTTTCTCTAACAGTTTCATTAATGTGAAGAACTGAATTTCTGTTAGTGTGGTAATCGCTCTGTTACCATGGTGTAGCTTAAGCAAAAACTGAATGTGTCAGCTGTATGTTGGACAGTAATTAATTTATTTATGTGCTTAAAATTTATTTTAAATTTCTATTCCCTTTGCCTTCGTTAAACAGATTTTAAGACATTTGTCTTCTATAAGAAACCTATACTCCAAAGCCCTATTACTACAACCACTCTATCTTCTGGATGCTCAGAGAACAGTTGGCATGAGCCTGTGCATATCATATCACCTAATCTTATTAGTGGGTTGATATTTTCATGCCCAGTACTTTGCATGCCATTTCAGTTGTTACCTATGAAACTAGAAAAGTATGAAGTAACTAATGCTTCTGTCCAGAAAACCTAAGGGTTATGTTTGCAAAGCATTTAAAATCTAGAATTTTATTTGTATATGATTCTCACATAAAACTAGTTTAGAAAACAAATGTAATGGGTTTTCAGTTTTGCCCTTAGTTTGAATGACAAAGAAGTGATGTGCTTTGTAGCATTTAAGAACAGAAGTTTTTTGTGTACTATTACTATCATGCTTGGAAGTTAGGTAAATAGCAATAATCTATTAAAATGACAGGCTTCTTCCTATTTTTGAATAGAACGTTTGATTTATATATTATAAATGTACTCTATTAGTCATACTGATTAAAACAAAATTATGAGAGACAAAGCTTAAAGCAGGTTGACTTGTAGAGGTCAAATATAAGATACCCTGATTGTTCTTGGTTATAGATAACACTTTTGTTTTATTGCTTCCTATTTTGTCGGTACTTACTTGTAGTGTTCTCTTAGATTTTTACGTTTTAAAAATTTATCTTCAACAACTTGAGAGAAACTTTTCTCTTCTTTTAAATGTCAGATTTTAGCAGCTCTGAAACTAGCCCAAACATTTAGGATTACCAATGACAGGATTCTAGCTGCTGGCAAACAGAATGAACTAGATACGTTTGTCTGGATTCAAGTGAACCTCAGGCCACTGTATTACCCGAAAACATTCACTACGTTGAGATTTAGGAACAAGAAATGTTTCTCAGTTATATACATTGAACTTGTACTGACAGCTTTATGTGATAGAAGTATCATAAGAATTACCCCACTTGCTGTGAACAGTGTGTACAAAAATCTTTCCTGATGGCATTCAGTAGACTTCTTTTACTTTTAAGGAAAGTACTCCACAGTATTGCATTTTATGAGTTTAATGTTTTTGTTTTATTGTAGTGATAGAAGTGAAAGTGGTTCTTTTAAAGCTATTGACCAATTTTGTATTTTCTATCTTTTTTGTACTCAACCCCAAGTATCCAGAAAGAATTAAGTAGTGTGGTTAGTTGAAGCACCATTTTGGAGAATGGTCACTTTCTATGACATCACCTTCCTAAAATATGACTGTTTTCATAGTTGAACTGCAAATATCTGTTGGTTTGCACAGTACTGAGTTAAGAAGTCCTTAACTATCTTAGTAGACTGTATAAACCAACCTACACTTTGTTATCCTGTCAGATATACATTGGGGCCATCATTCCTCTGGGTGCGGCTGAGAAAGATGGTCGGCTCCGTGCAGCTGATGAGCTGATGTGCATTGATGGGATTCCTGTTAAAGGGAAATCACACAAACAAGTCTTAGACCTAATGACGACTGCTGCTCGAAATGGCCACGTGTTATTAACCGTCAGAAGAAAGATATTTTATGGTGGTATGTGGACCTGTTCTAGCACTGATAAGAAAGAAAAAGAGGCTTAGTCCACTTTCTGTATGATTTTGCAAGTTATTTTATTCTGCTTAATAGTGTACTAGACAGTCCATTTGGTGTGACCCAAGGCCTCATTGTGGAAGGCCATGTAAACTCCCTGATGTAAATACTGTCACTATCTAGTTTTTCAATTATTCACAAAAAGGTTGAGAGACACATAGCTGGTAAGTAGTAGGGCCAGGATTAAAACAGTCAGTTTAATTACAGAGCCCAGGTCTAAACCATCACACTAGGATATGAATATCTCTCACATTTTTCTCATCAATAGCTTTGTGAATATTAAATAAGAATTTTTAGAAGTGAATTCTTGCCACTTTAAAATTTAAACAATACAACCCTGTAGCACAAGAGTGCAAGCCTCATGAAGTTGGGGATATTTATCCATTTAGTTATTTGCTATATTCCCGGCACTTAGAAGAGGGCTTGCCTGGCACCAAGTGGACATGAGTAAATGGTGACATACTGAATATTGGTGTTACTCTTAAAAATGAGGCACTGTGCTTTTGATTGCAACATCCAGAGTAAAGACCTGTCTCTGTAAATATCAGGCATTTAGAGATGCATACAGATTTTAATGCAAAACTGTTGCTTCCATTTGGTTGTACTGGTGTCAGACTATAACTATGTACAGGAAAAAAGTGATGCATTACAAGTAGTGGTTGACTCTCTCCTGGAAAGCTTCATGAAGGTCCATAGAAGTTTGGTATATTATTGGAGGTATTTAGCAAATTCACTCTAACCATGCATTATACCAAAAAAAATCCTGTTTTTTTCATTAATGTTAGGATATTGGTGGCACTTCACTGAGATCCTAAAACATAATCTCAGAATCATGTAGATTTTAGCAAAAAGAGACCTTACAAGTGCATATTCCTTGACAGGAGTGTGCTATAGTTGTTAGTAATGATGGTTTGTGTCAAATTGTGGCTCAAAATTTGCCTTTTTTAAAAAAATTTATTAGGACTAACTTGTGTCATTCTTTATCAAATTCTGACATCATACTTGAATAGGAGAAAAGGGTGTAGATTAACAGCCCATTTGCTGGAAATTCCAGATGACCCAATCTGTGCCCAGGAGAGTTTGCTGATTATGTGGACAGCTTGCTAAATACTGGAAGGGCGCAGGTGGTAGGGGCAGATGGCTGTGACTGCTGACGGTTAACTCTCCTGACACCATCACTCAGGAAACTGCAGTTGTAAAATATTGTGTAACACAAATTCTGTTTAGATGGCCAACTGTGCTCAACCTTTAATGGGTAACATCTCTGTCCTGATGCAGTGGCCTCTCAGATGTCACAAGTGTCAGTTATTGCACAAAATTGTATTTAAAGTTAATTATAAAAGGAAGTTTATTAGGTTGTTTCTCATTACCAACTTTTTGTTAAAACCTTGCTGGAATTTAAACAATCTCAAGAAGAATTTACTATGAAATGTCATGAAACCTTTGGAAAAACTTCCTTTAAAATGAGATAACATTGTGTATCTTTCCACTTATATACTTGAAGAGTGTTTAAGAAGTTAAACAGACTGCTGTTACCAACATCTGCAATCAGATTTTATCTAGAGCTCACATGGGGGGTCTGCTTTTCTATCCTTCATGTTATTAGAAACTAAATTCTCTTGTGAGAGGCTTAGCACAAAAACCCTTTAGTTATCAAAAATTATGATGTTCCAGAAATACCAAATTTATCATGTTTATTATAGAGAAACAACCTGAGGATGACAGCTCTCAAGCCTTCATTGCAACGCAGAATGGATCTCCATGCCTGAACCAAGCAGAGGTCCCAGCCAGACCTGCTCCCCAGGAGGCCTATGATATTGTCTTGCACCGAAAAGAAAATGAAGGATTTGGTTTTGTTATCCTCACCTCCAAAAGCAAACCACCTCCAGGAGGTGAGGGCTGCTATAGCCTATTGTCCCTCCCTGCAATTTCTCTTTTCTGAGTCTTCCATTGGGGTTTTATGAAACTTCCTAGGAATTATGTATAAATTGCCTTAGAGAATTATCTTTTTTATTATTATCATCTATTTATTTGGTATCATTAATGTATAATTACATGAGGAACATTATGATTACTTGGCTCCACCCTATTATCAAGTCCCCACCACATAACCCATTACAGTCACTGTCCATCAGTGTAGTAAGATGCTATAGAATCACTACTTGTCTTCTCTGTGCTATACTGCCTTCCTCGTGCCCCCCTTACATTATGTGTGCTAATTGTAATGCCCCTTTTTCCCCCTTATCCCTCCCTTCGCACTCATACTCCCCAGTCCCTTTCCCTTTGGCAACTGTTAGTCCATTCTTGGACTCTGTGAGTCTGCTGCTGTTTTGTTCCTTCAGTTTTTTCTTTGTTCTTAATACTCCACAGATGAGTGAAATCATCTGATACTTGTCTTTCTCTGCCTATCTTATTTCACTGAGCATAATACCCTCTAGCTCCACCCATGTTGTTCCAAATGGTA